CATGTAAAACACGTTTAGAAGAAGAAATGAGGAAAAATCAAGAGGACAAGTTTAAGTCTTTCCGTTTCCCGTCCATGGATTCCCGCGCTCATTTACACACTCACACAAGCGCCCAGCGCCAAACCTGGCTTCACTTTTTCCCCATGCTTTTAGATACGAGCACTCCGTCTTTATGTCTTTGGTTCAGCTAAACTAATGCCATAACTCATAACGCCGCTAGTCGTTATGCGTTACAGATCTAGAACCTCTCGCAGCTCCGTATCGTTCAGAGTTCGTCTATGCCGTGCGGCCGATGATGCTCCATCTGCACCGGTCGTCCCTCGTCTTTCACCACGCGCGCTTGCTGTAGTCAGGTTTTGGAGGTCGGAACCAGGTTTTTTTATACAGAAGTAGACCAGGGAGCGTAAAAAGGGGGGCAAAATTTGAATTTCCCGCCTATGAAAAATGGCGGGAATTTCAAAAGCAGAAGATTGAACTGAGCGGAAATGTGGAATCGTTAGTAGGGTAAGGTAAGCGAATCCAAGATATGCTTCTTTTCTGCAGACTATCCAAAAGTGACGAAACACTTCTTTCCGTTTGTTCCGTTTCGTTTTAGTCTTGGCGTGAAGTTTGAAATAAATGCTGATTTTTTTATTTGGTTCTTATTGGTTCAATCGCTCCCAGTCAAAAGAAGATTGAACAAATGAGAGTCGAGTATAAAAATATTTTTATTTTTTTTTGGTCGTTCTTATGTCGAAGCGGGCTTAAGAGAGCGCGAAGCGCCCTTAGGGGGTTAGTCCGCGTAGCGGCCAGGGGGTACAGCTTCCTAGTGCGAATCTAGAGACTGATTCAGTTTTTCCAAACTAACCACTCTCATGGTCATAATTTATAATGTAATGAAACAGTGATAGTGCGTAGAACAAAAATCTGAACATTCCTCTCAGATGGCTGAATGACCATAGAAACATAAATAGTACTGGCATATCGACGGCGTAAGTCTGCAAGCACATATCTCGTTTGCGGTGTCTGAAAATCCCCGCCTCTACGTTATTTATTTAAAGGAGAACAAATTGACATCATTCCTTGAAGTTTATGCAAAATTCTCTTCGAATGGAGAAGAAAAATCGTTGTAGTTTTCCGTTTAAAAAATAAAGTACGACAAGAAGTCTGCGAATAAGTCGCAAACCGAGTATGTGATTGCCGACTTACACCGTCTATATCTGAAAACGTATTGTCTTTAAAATTCATTATATTCATTTATTACGTTTGACAACAATGGAAGCTTTTACTTTGGGGTTGAATTTCTTTCCCACGTCCTTGTCCACGTCTACGTCAGTTGTTTTTCAGGTCTCCATACTGTTATGCGTGGAATTTGCGATAAAATTGGAGAAGAAAACTCGGGGTGAGGAGGGAGATTTCGTGACACCGAGACTCTCAGACTTGATGATCCACCAGAGACTTCCTGAACGTCGAACCGAGCACTTGCGAAGTACCCACATAGTCTAGTGTTGGACTTTTTCTTAATTCCTCCAAGAAAAGCAATAGACGTGAGTGACTTGTACTAACATTCTTATTCATTAATTTTGACTTATATTTTTCCAGGCTGTTTTCGTTACTTTTGTGAGTGTTTGTATTTACTCTTCGAGTTTTTTCCCAAACATAATATGAAATTCCAGATCAAATTAAAATCAAGCTAGGATATAAATATTTTTGCTATCAAGGGTATATGTGAAGGGACTTATCCTTTTTTTGTTGCGCACGAATTTTGATTGAAGTCCGATGAAATCCTATTGATCGGTTCAGATATTTAAACGCAGGGACGGATCCAGCAATTTAGCGACACAGGATTTTCTCCATTTAAACCTATGTTGAGTGATAGATTTTTTCGGAGCACCTGGTCCCTTCAAGAATCGATACATCTCCATAGGTTTAAATGGAGAAGAAAACAAGCAGGAAGCTCCAACGCATTCGCGTCGGAAAGCGGCTCTGGCGAAGGGAGGTAGTTGTTACGCGTTTACGGTTTCCTTGGTAACCTTTGTTTGCTATCAGCTGATATCGAGTAGTATGACTAGGAAGCTCCAACCACGGCATTCTTCGAAAAAAGCGCGAAAACTTATAGATTTGAATTTTCAAATTTTAAACGTAAAGTACATTTTTTCCAGTGCGAGATTAAAGCACAGACCCGTTTTGAATTATTGACAGTATCACCATGATTCCAAAAATACACTACACAACATAGCATTCGCTCACAGGAAAAAGATATCAATTAAAATAAAATCAGTCCCCCCTAAACAGCAGAAAATGGCGCCGATTCCCATCAACCAACACGCGGTCTCTCCAATGTAACATGGCCCGTTGATACTCCCCAGCTGGGACCGTCCGGAATAGCAGCTCTAGTGCAAGCACCAGAGCCGCTAAAATGTTGCTAATTTGCTGAATCCGCCCATTCTTAAATGCCTCCCTGATGAAATCATCTACTGACTCATAGCCCCATCTCGTAAATCTTACACAGTTGACAAACACCGAAAAAACATTGATGTTATTTTAACCTTCTGTATGTAAAAAGAGTGTGCGAGAACTCACAAAATGCTGAATAACCCTCTACAGCAGTTAGTTTTACATCTTGACATTGCTGAAGTAACCGCTGTATAGCGGTTCATTCAGGATTCTCTAAGATCTCGCACACTTTTTTTACATCCAGAATGTTAAATCAACTTAAATTTTTCTTCGGTGTATTCGTAATTGTTTAATACATATCGACGTGAATCACGACGTTTCATAATAGTGTGAGATACTTACATTTAATTTTAATTAATTTTTTCTTCGACATATTTACTTAATATTTTTTTTAAAATCAGAAAGCTATTGCTGTTACATGGCAAAGGGAACAATCGAAATTTTTAGAAGTAATCAGGATCAGAAACTCTTTACGAAAATTAAAAACAGTGAACCCCATCGCAGATCGAGATATAAGTAATGTTTTTGCGTGTGCTTATTTCGCGTTACATTTTAAATATTTTTCTTATAGTTACATCTGTTAAAAAATAAAATTAAAATTACGGTTTTAAGATTTTATAGCATGCGTTTCTCTCTGAATAAGTAGATTACAATGCGGATTCAATATGAGTGCTTTTTAAGGTTGTCGCTTATTTAGTTAAAGAGTCTAAACAAATCATTCTTCATTAGGCCACTTTTCCTGGTCGAGGTTTTACTTAAAGTAAATAACTGGATTTCATGTACAACATTTCATTTTCATAAATTTTCCTAGCTTATCTTATTTTTTCTCTAAAATCGTTGACTAAAATGCTCTATTAAACCATTATCATGGTCACCAGATGGTTATTACTAAATCACCATATATACCTCCGTTATTTACGGGAAATAGGATACCTTGAGCATAGCATGATGTGAGAGAGGATGAGAACAATATGTTTTAAGACAATTCTATGTATGTATGAGCCGCTTTTACGGCGCGCTAGGGCGCCGACATGACAATTCTATTTACAATTTTAAGACAAATTTAAGACAATTCTACCAATGCCAAAAAAATGGAAAAAATGCCGAAGGAAACTTTTTCTCATGAAGAGAGTGCAAGGGATGTTTTTTTTTTTTTTTTAGTTCTAGAAATAATGATTTTCGACCAAACCCGAGTTATACCCGCAAATGTAAATGCAATAATTGAATCAGTACGGAGTAAATGTTGCGTAACCTCTATTATGCAGTGATGAACAAGAAGGTAAAAAATCTCGCGGTTATCACGAATTAACTTTGGGAGAATATATGGTGACTGTCATGTTTTTAGAATAATTTTTCAGTTTTCAGCATTATTTCTTATTCATGCGAGTCTCTTTTTGTTCTGCTTACTAAAACGATTGTTTTTCTTTTTCGTGTGTCTATGATCTTTCTCTTAGTGATTCTTAATGCCTCCAATAAGTTGTATGTATCAAGTTAGAGGTAAAGTTGTTATCCTCGCTTACTGATCATCCCAGAGGTTGCTTCAAAGCGTTCATTCATATCGGGACTGTTGCAAGGATAATTTTTAGAAGTCACAAATCGAGTGCTCTCCTTAGTGTGTCCATCATTATAGATAAATTATTTTGAAAAAAGATGAATACGTCATTTGAAATTAGTTTTTGTTGTGAGTCATGGTATTCTATTTTTATCTGAACTCATTTTCTTCCCTTATTTCTACTGCATTCATACAATCGTAAATGTTTTACAAACTGCGATTCTTTTTTTTTCTTCTTCCTCTTTTTTTGATTTTACATGGGTAAACATTTGATCCGTATGTCTTAGACCATTTTTGCTGCATGAATTTTATTTTAATTTTTCAGAAAATGGACCAGAGAGAAATAGACGAGAGGGCGAAGAACTGGAACCCAAACAACAAAGCAGGAGGCGGTTACGGGAGTCGCCCTCGCGCAGACGCGCAGCATTCATCAACCGAAAACCGGGCAATGCAGTTGAATCCAAACAATCCACGTTTCCAAGGAAATCAGCGGGATCAAGCCCAGAATAAATAAACGCCCAAGGTATTCCTTTGAATTTATATCGATAGAAAACACTTCAGGGGTCAATATTTGTCTCCTGAGCTTGTGGTTATTTCAATCACATGAACGAGCGCGGAAGGTAGTGCCGACCCCCTGAAATATTATTCACACTGCATGTGAGAAGCCGAGGCGAAGGGCTCCCGAATCACCAATAGAGATGTTACATGTGTGAGGGATTTGCGATTTGACCATTGATTCTTATGTAAAAGTTCCCGAGAAACACGATGGTGCCACTAGTTTTCTCTGAAATCATCTCCCAAGCTCAAAAAAACTCTCAAAGTGAGGCCAAAATGGAGGGGATATCCCACGCTACCCTGAGAGTCCACCTCTGCATCAAAACAAACTCTCCATGCAAAGATAGGGAGCAAATACATTAGCAGTGATGCCATTTTATTTGGGGACTCTAAAACTGAAAACACGGCATCACTGCTAATGTATTTTCTCCCTATCTTTGCATGGAGAGTTTGTGTTGATGTAGACGTGGACTCTCAGGGTGGGGTGGGATATCCCCTCCATTTTGGCCTCAACTTGAGAGCTTTTTTTGAGCTTGGGAGATGATTTCAGAGAGAACCAGAGGCACCATCGTGTTTCTTGCGAACTTTTACATGAGAATCAATGGTTAAATCGCAAATCCCTCACACATGCAACATCTCCATTAATTTATTCAAATCTTTCAAACTCACGGCATGTCCAAAGCTAGATTTTTTAAATATTCTTTTATAATATTTTTTTTTGTAAATTGAAAAAGAACAGGGTGCAAAAAAGAGCATCCCGGTAATTTTTGTACATCCGCGACACAGCTCGTACTTTCCGCGCTTTTTTTCCCCTCACAAGACATTCTGGTTGATGCTACAAGATCCCTGGAGCACACATAAGAAAAGTCCAAGACGACCTTTTTCGCCACTTTACATTTTGTCACGAAATTGTTTTCCGGCGCCTGGATGATTAAAACTAAACAGCTGTTACATCGGGCCAAATCAATTCTGTAATTTTCAACTTCTATTGAACTTATAATGTTTTCTGAGTTTGTTTCTAGACGATTAAAAAAAAAAAAAAAAAAAAAAAAAAAAAAAATTGTGGACAAAGCAGACGGCGGACGTAATTTTGTATTAAGTATACGAGATTCGTCGTAGCCGAGCAGCTTTGCTCAATTTTCTCTCATTCGGAAACTGTCCCTGGTAGAAGCAAATTTAAATTCATCAAAAACCGAGTGAACTTGCCAGGGGAAACCGTTGACACTTTCCCGTCAAAACCGTATTATTTCATTTTACAGGAACTTCAAATAAGCTCCTCTACGCTAGAACGACTCAAATAGCTCGATGATTAAATTAATATACAATTTAAATTTAAATTAATAATTAGGCAATTGACCAGTTTCCAACTGTTTATCAAAAACATAGTCTGAAGAAAAAAATTTAGCAATAGAGAAGGAGAGGTAGAATAATAAATACATAAAGTATTATAGTTAGTAATATTTAAGTGCTGTACATAAAACAGCACTTCCCCGCAGCTTCTTTCCTGCAACAACTTTTCAGTCAATGAGCGTCTTGCGATGCTGTCGAGTCTACAATAACAGTCCATTTCACGAAACCTGAAACTTTGTGTTCGGCATTAAAATCCGTAAATTGGCAACGCATCAGTCGCCAGTCGCTCACGCGATGACCCGACCTTTTTTCTACGCGGCATCTCTTTAGTTCACCGATGAGAGGCCGGCAAACCCGTCCACTGTGAGGGTAGGAACATTAGCACCCTATATCCCTCCTTAATGACCCCTAGTACCGGAACAAAAATTTCTTCGCCGTTGAAAAGTTCATCTTACAGCGGGAAAATTGAGCTTTTGTACGAAATTATGATAAAAATGCATTGAAATTCCGTCCAATTTTCTTGATTTTAAGAGGATGGAATCGCGGTGGTAAAATCAAGATAATTGGACGAAATCTTTAAAGTTACCATAAAAATTTAAAATTAATTTACATTCACTGGAAGAAAAAGTCGCTTGAATCTAGACCCCAGACTCTTAAAAACATTGACTCGAAATAAAATACTCTTGCGATTCAATCGGACTTTTCGCTTAAATAAAAAGGAAATCAGCCTTAATCAAGAGGCTCGGCTCTTCAATTCAAGGAAAAATCTGATTGAATCAAGAACATTTTTTCTTGTTAATGTTACTAAGAGTCTGGACTCTAGATCCAAGAGACTTTTTTTTTACCAGTGTTCAACGTGCATGAATCAATATTTTCTCCCAGATTTAGCAAAAAGTACCAATTAATACGAATAGCAATGACGTGAAAATAGTGTGTGTCCAACATTTTAGTTACTCGGCACGCTTTTCCAACGTTTTCATGTTGGAATTTTCTTCTTGCCTTTTAGTTCAGGACCTAGTCTAATCGAATCGCCCATTTCTCAAACTCCTTGCTCTAATTATTTTGGGTTGATGCAAAGAAAGTTTACACCGAGGAAAATGTGTGTTTGAATCAGATTAAATTTGAAGGATCCCACTTAACAATTTTTGAATAATTAAATTAAGCACATAGAAAGTCAGTGTGCTGGCGGGTTCCGTATTTTTATGTGAACAAATTTGGTAATAGTATAGGTATACGCTAAACGCGTGTGATGAAACCCTTAAATAAATAGCAAATGGCGTAGGACGTAGTGAATTCGTAAATAGTTTTCTAGTGTATCTCGATATGCGAAAATGTTCGGTCATGACCTCTCTACCATAAAATATTCATATATTATTTTCCTCAATAATTCCAATTCGTTTGAAAAATTCGAGTTGTTCTAGAGAAGAATTGAATGAAGAAGTGCCCAATTGTTTTGAAAGGAATGACTGTTGAAGTGTTGATTCGAGAGAAATTAGGTTTTTACAGAAGACATTAAGTAGAGCGTTTTTCTCAGCAGACGTGAATAATGGATCTATCCACCGATACATCCTACTGAATCGACCCTTCATCTATTACAAGTTGGCAACACTGTTTTTT